GCCTAGACCCCACTCCCTGGACCCGATTCCAATCATGAAGGCCTCCGAGAACCTCTGAGCGGTCATCCAAGAGTTCAGGTCAATCCACCAAAGACGATGAGCAAGCATCCCTCGGCAAAGGACGTCGGCGGGGCGTCAGGGCTTCTGGGGTGGGGCACGGGTTTACTTAGGGGTGCTTAGAAATATTTTTTTTAAATTTTAGTTATTATAATCCCTAAGAAACAGCTAAAGGTATAATTGTTGCTAGGGTTCTTAATTCAGTCTAGTTTACATAATTGAGGTTTTGGGTTTGGGGCCTCGGGTTTAGGATTTCGTGTCTGGGGATTTAGTAGGGTTTCGGCTCTGGGGCTGCTCGGTTTAGGCTTTAGGGGACACTTAATAATCTCCGTCGTCCTACAGCCTTGAAGCCGTAAGCTTGTGGACGATTCAACCGTCCTTTCCTGGAAGGAGGGCTTGACTTCCTGTTGAGTTGCAGTCTTACTTAGGCTGAAGTTTGGCTAACCCCTAAACCCCGAAACCCAAACTGAGGGTTGGGTTTTCGAGGTATAGTTGCTGCAGGCCGAGGGAGTTCCATAGATCTGGGGAGCTCTAGAAGGTTGCGGAGTCTAGATGTAGCAAGGATCCTCCATGCACATTGTAGATTTGGGGACTTGGGAGAGCTTTACAAGGTTTTGGAGTTGAGATCTTGGCCGGTTTAGGGTTTGTAAGATCTAGATTTATAGGGTTTGGAGTTGAAAGGATTCAGGGTTTAGGTCAGGAGTCCGACCCTCAGGGTTACGGGACTGGGGTTTGGCTATTCATGCCTTAGATGCTACGGTTGATGATATAAATCCTGCATCACCCATAATAAGGAGTATACCATGATTCTCATAGTTTAGGGTCCTTAAGGTGATGCAGGATTTGCATCATCAACCTTATCTCGAAGCGGGAGGAAGCGGGATTCAATTCCAGTAGCCTGATGCTCTTGCTCGTGGCATGTCCCTGTTCGAGGATTCTTCGCACCACACGCCAACAAGCGCCATGTCACAGTCGTTGCTGAGCGCCTCGGCTACACTTAGCATGCCTGGGGCCCTAAGCCTCAAGCCGTTTCAGGGCTTAGGGTTTAAGGTTTTGGATTTCGGGTTTTCGGGTTTAGGGGAACGGGTTTAGGGTAACTGGTTCTACCCATAGGCCCCCAAAGTAGTTCCTTTTTGTGATTACCTTCCAGGATTCTATATATGAACCCCAAACAAGAACTACTGTGGGGCCTATGGGTAACCCTTCTTTGGGTGTTTGGGGCAATGTCTGGGATTTGTGATCCGAAACGAGCGGAAGTCGGTGACTCTATACTTGGCAAGATCAGGTTTTCGGGTTTTGAGTTTAGCGTTTAGCGTTCCGGGTTTAGGGTTTAGCTGGATCCCAAATAACCTACCTGAGTGTTCCCTTAATATGAGTGCCTTAAATGTGTCCTTAAAAACGCGGATTGTCTGGAGTTAAGGTAGGGTTTCTTGCCACTGCTAGTTGAACCAAAAAGCCCACCAAGTTGCCTTTTGAAGAATCTGTGGGTGGTGCGCCAAGTTGACATCTGGGTGGTTCCGAAATCCAGAGAGCCCCCAACACAAAACCCTAAACCCTAAACTCAAGCCTCATTAAAGCTTTAAAGCCCTAAATCCCAACCCTCGCCCCAATCCCGCTCAAGAGAAAAACACAAGCCCTTAAAATCTAAACTCTTCTTTAAACCCCTAAACTCCTAAACCTAAACCCTAAACCCTAGGCCTTAAGCGCCTAAACCCTGAAACCCCAAGCCCAGGTGGTGAGCTGGACCTGCCTCAGATGTTCAAAGCCAGCCCGTGGGAGGTGATCCCACTGGAGGCTCGGACGGTTTAGGGTTTCGGGGTGTAGGGTTTATGCTCGGGACCAGCTTTTTGTTATAATGCACGGTGTTAGTCAGTGCGGAGGTCCAACATCCTGCACGGCCCGGTGCTATACGAAGTGGGCTAAAGAAAAGTTCTCCTCCTCAACGTGCCTTTGCACGTCAACCAGCGGCGCCACGCTATGGCCTCGTCACCTGCGACCCGTCTTGCCACAGGTATGGCAAAAGCACAACCTCTCCTTTTGTTCGTCGAGCGATGACGAACGGTGCCCACATGTGACGACATTGCAGGTCTGCACGGTGCAGACATTGTTCACATGCATTCTATATAGACACGGTGCTGGCGGTCTATGGGACAAGACCGGCACGTTGCTTAATAGGGCTTAGGGATGGCTTAGGGATTTAGGTTTTAGAGTGTCGGCGTTTGGGGCGTAGGGTTTTTTGTTGGAAAGGGGGGGGTTTAGGGTTCCGTTCGTGCGTGTTTGTTTTCGTTGAGGGGGGAAGCTGCATCCGGCATGCTTGCTCATGGTTTCTTGTCGCAAGGTCTGCGGATTTAGTTTCCTTTTCAGGGTGTTAGGATGTATGGGAGTCCGAGAAAATGGGTAATTCAAAAATCTCAAAACGCGGAAACCAACGATGGGTTCCCGAATCTCCATAATTCCACAGGCTTGGTTCAATAGGTTCTAGAAAGTATGGGGATGTAAGGCCTGATCGGTTTTGGGCTTCACGGCTTAAGGGAAAGCGCTTTATACAGGCTGGTGTGGCATTTGTTTGGGGTTTCGTGTGTCCTAGCCGTCGCGTTTTTGCACATGAGGGCTGTTGATCTTTCGGGTTGTAGTAGGGGGTGGAACGTCAGTGGTTCAAGGTCCAATGTTGTGGCATACCCTGAACCTAAAGCTTAAATTTTATTGCCAAAATCCGGAAACCCGGAACCCTAAACCAACAAGCTTCGAACTCTTGATGACTACCCGATTGACGGTTACTATATAATATAAGGGTAGTAGTTACATGCCCACCTTATGAGGGGATTATATGAACACAACAGCTGCCAAACCCTGAATTTCTAAAGACGCGAAAGCTCAGCCGATAATGTAAATATAGGGGCCTAAATTTACCTAGACTCTGTTCGGGGTTCCCTAGTATAATGGGGCACAAAACCCTATTCTAATTATTCAGGCCCCTATGTCATATCCTTATAGTAAACTCCTTCTAGACCCCATTAAAGCAAGCCTAAACCCTAGTTCTAACTAGGCCCCTACATTGCAGGAATCCAAGGGTAAAAGGAAGGACCCTTAATAAGGACCCATAGGTATATACCCTGAATATACTAGCTATTATGTAATATTATACCCGTTATATAGCTCATTATAGGGTAGGGGTCCCCATTAAGGGCTTATAGATCCCTTTAAAGGAACCCTAAGAGCCCTAAATTAAGGGTCCCTCCGTTTCCCCTTTGAAGGACATCATTTGGATGGACCGGCCGGTGGAGCGTAAGCGCCCGGCCCTCAGAATCGGAGATCTGGTTTACGGCGGCGGGGTAAGAGGGTGAGGGTTTTAGGGTTTAGGGGTCTAGGGTTTGGGGGTTTAGGGCTTTTAGGGGTTTTGGGTTTCGGGATTTAGGGTTTAGGGTCATGTATTTGGACGTAGGGTTCTGGGTTCGGTAGGGCCTCGACTCTACAAGGGCTTAGGATTTGCAGTTCTTTTTGCTTGCTATATGGGTGGTTGTCAAAATTATGGTCCCTTTTGGGGTCCCTACTGTAGTACGGCAGTCTATTATTTAGGGTACCCAAGAAGGAACCAGAATTTTGACAACCACCCGTATATTGTACACCAGAGTTTAGACTTCCCCTAAGCCAAAAGCCTTGAGCTCTATGCCCTACAGGATGTTTCAGAAGTGGGAGTTTTTGGAGATGAGGGGTACCTTCTTTTGGGGTCGTTATAATAAGGATCCTAGTATTTGGGGTGCCATATTAGGGTCCCCGATTTTCGGACACTCCCACATGACGATCGAGACACAGGCATCGTCGGCATGGGTCTTTGAGAAGCGTTTTGACGTTGTTAATCCTGGTAATCAGCCCGGCCTCCATTTAACACTTTCAACCCCGAGCCCTTAAAGTTAAAGCCGAAATCCGTAACCCTATATAAGCCCTCCATTTTAAAGTCGACTGTAAACCCTAAGCCCTCTAAACCCCCCTAAACCAAAACCCTCCCAAGAATCCTGGAGTCAGATTCGCTTGTTCCGCTTGTTGGGGTACATGATGCTTCCTTTTGTATGGACTACAAGGGGATGTTATTGCTAGTGCTCCAGCCCCTACGTTTACGAATTTGTAGTGGGCCTCCATATATTCCTTTAGCTTCGTGACCTTAGCGTGCCCAGATCCTTGGGAGGATCCAAATTGTAGATCCATCAAAGGCACTACGACAGTATCCTTAAAGGAAGCCCAAAGGATACACCTTAAATGAACTCCCGGAGTATCCAAAAAGGTCGGTCCCTGAACAAGATGTGGGGCATCTGCTTTTGAGCTCCTTCCGGGGGCCTGGGTCTGATTGGAGTCCTCCTACGAGACGGACACCTGCCTAGTCATCATATAGCTAATTCTCTGAATTCGGGTCCTTAGTTGGATACTTTGCATAAAGGTGCCGTGCTATATTGGGGGCCTGAAAATCAAAAGTGACTAGACCCTAAACCCTACTTACCGGGGCCCTGGGCCCAGGGGCAGGAACTCCTGTCAACGCCGCTGCCATATGCGCAAGTCGCAGGATTTGCACGTGCTGGTGTCTCGTGTACCTTATCCGTCTTATCATATTCCCGAACACTCCACACAAACCCAAATCAGGTACCATATAAGGGCTCTCGATGTCATCCGCAACGTAGCATCTGCAGGAGCCTATACACACAAGCAGGTTGACGCAGGCAGGTTTCATTGGGTCCGGACGACCAACTTGCACCCAGTGCCCTGCAAAATCCGTTGACGATTCTTGCCAGTCTTCTTGAAGTATGGACTAGGATCGGGTGCCAAAGGGCTTCGAACTCAAGGACATCCTGCATGGTTGTGTTGCTGCTATAGGAGCTTACAGCAAGTACCTTACTTCATTGCTGTAGCCTAGAACAGAGTTCCTCAAAGAGGGGACCCCGGGGTGTGCAGCCATGGATGCTGGCTTCCTGGATCATCATAGCGGGCATGAGCAGCTTCAGCTTCGGCCTTTTGGCGCATTTTAGGGTTTACAACGAGGTTTAGGGAATTGAAATTTTCGAGTTGAGATTCATTGTTTAGGGTGTTGGGTTTGCAGTTCAAGTTTGTGTTTAGGGATTGGTTTTCGCCCCTTTTGATTAAGTTTATCGAGTTTAATTTAGTAATTGTCCAATGCGCATGAGACTGCCAATTTCAGGGTTTAGGCTTGGGGTTTGGGTTGCATTTGGGTTGCGGGTCTGCTGCTTCTGGTTGAAGCTTTGAGGGAGCTCTACATGTTCCGGGTTGAACCGTAATCAAACGTCTGGCAGACTAGAGCTGAGATGGGTGGTTGTCAGAATTAGGATCCCTTTTTGACTTTTTGGGTCCTTAAAATACGGCACCTCATATTTAGGGTACCCATTTGGGGCCATAATTTTGACAACCACCCAGATGGATGTACGGTTCAGGGGTTTAGGGTTTAAGGTTTGAGATGTGTACGTCTGGCCTTCACCCTCGCCACTGTCATTACCTATATAAACCTTAAACCCTGTAAACCTTAAACCTCAAACCCTAAATGAGCCTTTAACCCTAAACCTTAAACCCTAAACCCTATACCTGTTGAGCCCTCCCCTCCCCTGCTCGGTTTCGGTTGCCAGGAACTTCATCGAGGACGGGCGGGATCAGAGTTCGGGCACCGATACAAAGCTCATGAAACGTCGGAGCCTGAATAACTAGCCATACTACATTATACTAAGGGGCCTTACTAGTCCTTCGGGTTCCTTTAAAGTGTTCTATGAGGGCTACTGTGAGAGTTACTATGAGGATATATAGTATAGGGGCCTTAATAATTAGCCATACTTTTCGGGTGTTTCTTATTATCATGTGTAGTGGGCCCCGAAACCCTATTCTAATCATCAAGGCCTTGATATCAGCCAGAGCATTCCTGATATGTGGGATTCTCTCTTATTTTCATAGCACAGGCCCCGACAGCCCTGGTGTAAGCATTCACATGTTTACGATAGCTTGCTTGGGGTTGACCGTGAGTTCAGCAGATGGTCCCCGTGCAATTGCCCAGTGTGGATCCAATGTGCATCCCCGCACCAATCTGCAATAGCCACACCAGGCACAAACTCTAAACCCTAAGCCCTAAACCCTAAACCCTAAACCCTCAGCCCAAGTCTCCAAACCTCAGACACAACACCAGACTCGTCTCCACTCCACTAGCCCCGGTAGCACCCTACAGTTAAACTTTCCTTCAGTCCCCATTGTAGTTCCTTTTTTGGGTTAACCAAAAGCTCTCTTATAGGATTCTAGCCATAAAAATGGTTAACCAAACAAAGGACAGTGGAGACTATAGGTTGTCCGAGGGTTGAAGATGTTCCACGCCGCTGGTGCATTCTAGGTTCTAGATGCCATACATCCCCGCACCAACTCCATAAAAACTTTCAATGCTTAATCAAATCCTAACCCGTAAAGCCTGACACAAACCATATAACCCGAAAGAGCCCAGAGTTCTATCAATCCCATCAGAAGCCCTATAAACTTTACACACGGTGAACCCTCAGCCGCAAGCCAAGCAGTTGGGAGTTGCATCGGCCGCATCTTCACAGTTTGATGAAGCAGCACATTTCACCGGGTGATATTTCAGGGTTCATAGGGTTTAGGGTTTAGGCTCAAGCAGTACATTTCACCGGATGAGGGTTTAGAGGGTTTAGCCTACGTCTCCGTCTCGTATCTCGCCAGAACAGCCAGGCCAGATGCAACAGTTCCTGGCGATTGCACTTACCCTTGCTTAGTAGGGAATGGAAGAATGGTAGTAAGAGTAGTTATAATTGTACCCCATTCCTCCAGTCCCTACTGTACTAACCAAAGGTAAGATCCGGGCTTGTGTTTGCGCAGGCTGAACAGCTGAGTGTTTCGGACCGGCACCTAAAAGGCAAGAGAATGTACAGTACGGTTGATGATATAAATCCTGCATTACCCATAATAAGGGATATACCATGATTCCCATAGTTTAGGGTCCTTAAGGTAATGCAGAATTTATATCATTAACAGCAATGTACAGTATTATATACTACGGTATGATATGATATAAAGCAATGCAGGATCACATGCGTGCCAAAGCGTATTTTCAGTAATGAGACAGGACAATCTTTAGCCTTTCTCTCTCCCTACAAAGCTTTCATAAAGAATAAGCAAATCCTTACAACACCCTGCAGCACTGTCCTCTAAGCGTTAGGGCCAGGGATTTTCGAAATTACACGTTAGTCCAACGAACAAGATCCTTTTCTGCACAGAGAACACCCCTAAGCCCGAAACCCTAAACCCTAAGCCCGAAATCTTGAATTTGTGGCTTGCGGCCGTTACCCTCAACTGTAGACTTTTTGGGCTATGACTTATATACCTACGTTTACAAGTCTGGGTAGGCTCTGTGTACCTTGAAATATATGGGGCCTCAATACAATGATTTATGGTATATTCCTTAACTAGGGGGTGTTGGGCTTCTCTGTGCATCTCCAGTCGGACAGGAGCAGTTCCAAGCGCAGGCGGACCTCCTCAAGGATCCTAGGGTTCCAAGCGATTTTTCTTGTAAGGTGTTTTGGGGCTGAGGGCCTTAGGGTGTGGGGCTTATGTAGGGTATTCCGATTTGGGTTCATATGTAGTATTTAGGGTTTAGGGTAGTTGGGGTCAAGGGTTGAAGGTTTTTTGAAAGCGATTTGCATGCTGCATGCTTGAAACAACTGACGCTTGCATCGTGGGCTCTGGGCTTTCCTTCTGCATCCACATATTGACTTGGTAGATTTCACTAACCTACTTCAATGTGCCAGGAACTCCACGTCATGGAAGGCGCAATAGTTCCGCAGCCAGCTCATTTTGCGTGGTTATAGGGCTGAGAAGTAAATCCTAAATCCCGGCAAACCCTATACGCCCTAAGCTGCACGCTTACGATGTTCGATCACGGTTGGGGGCGGGGGGAGGATTTTGATCTAGGGCCTGCGGCTCCCTGGCCCTAAACCCTATTGACCCAAAAGGGTTTAGGGTTTAGGGTTTAGGAACCTTAAACCCTAGACCTTAAACCTACGCCTAAACCCGAGGTTCTGCTTTCGGGCTTTCCGGTCTGGACTCTCGGCTATGGGCCTAGGTCCGAGGGTTTAGTCCGGGGTGTGGAGCCGTGGGAGTTTTCTTCGAAGACACATATGATATGCACATGTATGGTCAGGCGTCCGGCGTTTCCAACATACACTGCAAATCCTCCCTAAGCCCTTGTCGACTCGAAGCCTTATACCTTGTAACCGTAAACATATAACTCAAAAGCTTAAGCTAAACCCTAAACCCCAAAACCCACAACCACCCCACAGGGGGAAGAGGGACCCCACACCCCACACCACGGGGAGGGGGGGCCCCACCCCATATCCGGACCATTGACCTTTACGGGGGGAGAAGGGGGGGCCGCGCAGTGCGTGACCACATATACATATTTTTTTAATGTGATTGTATTAATCTTGATTTGAATAATTTAATGACACTTGTTTATTGAGTTATATGTATGTACATTTATATTTTCTCAGCCGACCACACTATAAACCCTAAACGCCTTGGAGGAGATCAGCCTTCAGCTGACCACAGCGATTAGCACCGCGGCGGCGGTGCCTATACCCAGCAGGTGCGGAATGGTTTAGGGTTTAGGGTTGAACAATATAGAATAGGGAGTGGCTTTAAGGGTTTGCAGACGGTTACTACAAGAGCTCTATACTACCTAGAGGCTCCGTAGTAATGCCTTTGGGGGTTCATACGTAGAATCGTATAAGGTAATCCCAAAAAGGAACTATTATGGAGCCTATGGGTACAGGGTAAGAGGCTGAAAGATTAGAACAGGGGGCTCCCTCAAGGCTAGAAGACCAGCCAGCTCTGTTGAGTGAGTGCAACCCACCAAACACTCAATCCTGTACCATCAACCCTAAACTCTAAAATGGGAAACCCTAAACCCTGAACTCTGAACTCTAAGCCTCAACCCCAAGCCGTGTGGATGTAATTCGACTCAAAGCCACACTATCTTCGAACCGAAAGGATTGGCTTGATATTTAAACTTGCCGGACGGAGAATGCTGTGCAGGCTGGAGGAATTTGACGCCATTCCGCGGCCACCACCGCTGCCGGGATGATATTTGCGGATTATGTTTGGGTGTTAAGGGAGCAAAGAGTCTAGGGTGTTACGGTTTTCGGGTTTGAAGGTTTATGTTTTCGGCCTCAGGCTGAGATAAGAAGGCTAGTGTTGCTCTCGTGACCATGACAAGGGTGACTGGGCTTTCAGGGTTTCGTGTGTCTACCCATTTTGCGGGTGCAGCCCTTGAAGGCGACTTCCATGCTCCAACTACACCCCTTATGCCCAATCTGGAAACCCCAGCCCCCCCCTACATGCGCAAGCCCCATATCCCTAGTTCTGCGACAGCTACACCCAACACCTTGCATGTTAAGCCTCTTCCCTGATCTGTGTAACAGTCATTTTGGGGAGAAGCTGCTTTATGGTCTGAATTCTCCTCGTAAGAAATTAAGTGGCCAAAATATGGTGCTACAGCTATTACAACCCATGGTCTCGGCAAAGACGACATCAGAGTGTGTTTTCTTCTCAGAAGAACCAATGCGTATAAAGCAAAGCAAGCCGTACTACATATCGTTATATACATATATTTCCGTTTATATATATATATATATACATTTGTTGATATATATATATATATGTATATTCACACGTATGTATGTTCATTAGTCCACAAACACTATACCGCGTGACTCTGTTGTACTCATTGAGACCTATATGGCGCAGAACCGTTATCTTCCTGGAACTTCCTTCGGTGATTTATTCTTGGTCGTTTGTGTTGTTGCCTGGTTCTCTGGGTATTTGACAAGTTAATCTGGGTTCGTTAATAAAAACTAGTTTCCTAGGATTCGTATCCTTTCTTCGTGTTTCAGGTGCTGCTTGCATTTGTTGGCCCGATTGAAGTGCTAGAGGATTCAAGATCATTCTTGTGTTTGTTCGCCTCGATATATACAAGCATTTCTGATGATGATAGTCCGGCCTACCAAAGACTTGAAGAAAGGTATAGAGATATGTGAATGAAAACAGAAGTCGGTATATGCTGTATATGGTATATGGTAGCTCATATAAAATACCTACTGGTAGAGCTTCTATCGGATAAGCTACCACAACCATTTCCAATATGTCTTGATTATATGTTCACATTGACTACTACTCACAATAATCCAGATGCTGCTCCTGCGATCTCGGACTATCCCCAGGCTGCTGTGTTCAACATCGTATATGCTACCACGTACCGTAACTACATGCTGCTTGAAGCCGCCGACAACTAGCGAGCCACATGGTACCCCTAAGAGTACAGCTGTAGGGCGGATATTATATGGGCCACACATTACTCATCAGCGATCACCACCATGCCATCCATCATCCGATCTCGTCGATGGCGAGAAGCAGTGCGCCTCCGGAAGGTGCGCCCATCCCGTGCAGGGTGTCGTGCTGTGGAGATGATCGTGCTTGTGTGTGCACACTAGATGTGTTTCCTGTTCGATCTGGGCTTCTGGGCTCGAGGGTTGAGCATTGTTCCGCTTCGGGCTTTGGTTGCATACGCTTGGCCATGACGACTCGATTGGCTGAAGAGTGGGAAGCCGTTCCGGAGCTTCGACGCCTAGCTCAGAAGCTGGTGCTTGTTTCTTGGAAGCGCTAGCTGCTGAAGTTACCATGCATATCCTAACTCCAGCACCCACCCAAGCACAGTAACTCGATCGCATGTTGTCCTAGGTTCAAGTTGCTGGGACTGGGACCACAAGGGAGAGCATCGTGCAGAACGAGGCGGTTCTCAAGTCTGCTTTACAACACCTGGGGATGCGACCGAGTGTGCAGACGTGTATGCTGCATATTAGATCATTTTTTGATCTGATGCAGCTGACAATTCCTGCTGCACATGTGTATACCCAGGGATGGGCCCTCCGTCGTATGATCTCAATGTTCAATCTGATTGTTCGGCGAGGGCACACGCCAAGGGAGGCTGCGATTGTCAGGCTTATGGAAAGTGTTGGGTTGACAGTCACCCCCAACGCTGATGGTGATGAGAGCAGTACACGTGCGAGTTCAGAGGATGAGGGATGTTCGGAAGCTGGAGAATCAGAAGCTTTGACTGATGATGAAGAGGAGCTTCCTAGTGCCTGGGCTGTAAGACCCGTAAATTAAACTATACATATGAAACTGTACATGCACCGGCCAATAGTTTACCGCATGTTGAATACGGTATGTGGTAAACCTGCCTAGATTATAACTCTCAGACTCCTCCTTTAGATATCCCATCCCACTGCTTAACATAAGGTACCCTGCCAATTCCGGACCTGGGTGATCGCGAAGTTTCTGCACCTGCAGAGGACATTCAGCTTTCTGCTGTTTAGATCGGCTTGCCAAGGGATTCAGACTTTGCTTTGATACAGGAGAGTGCAAGCAGAGCTCCCGCTTTGGTGGTCCCTACAGGGGCCATCGAGAATGCTGTGGAGACGAGTGTTGCTGTCGAAACCAGCCCTGCTGTGGGGACCAGTGTTGCTGTCGATACAAGCCGTGCTGTGGAGACCAGTGCTGCTGTCGATACAAGCCCTACGATGAGCCCTGCTGTGGAGACCAACGGTGCTGCTGTCAAGACAAGCCCTAAGATGAGCCGTGCTGTGGAGACCAGTGCTGCTAGCGGTACAAACCCCGAGATGATCCCTGCTGTGGAGCCAAGCCCCGCTGTCGAGTCAAGCCCTACTTACGAGATGAGCCCTATCAGTACAGCATCTCCCACAGGCCAGCATTGCCGATCATCATGCAGTCAAACACCAGCTAGCATGTACATATGTACATTATGATTGATCCATATTGTTGCAGGTAGCAATGCGGTGTTGGTGACTCCCAACAAGACGGCGCAGCAGGACCCGGTAGCTAGGCTTCTTATTGCCAGATCTGAAATGTGGTTCGAGAGCTAGCACACATCGATGAGAAGCCAGGTTGCTCAACAGAAACAGCTCATCGATCAGTTGCAGAAGTTGACGGAGCTACTCCAGTTGAAGAAGCAGCTCAAGGAGCTTCAAGCAGCTCAAAGCTCTTGCCCTCCGCCTGTTCCTTCTGGATGTAACTCAACTCAATATCGTACGTGTACGTGTTGCAAACCCGAATCCCAATCACCCCTAATCAACCCCTACTGCCACTGGAGGCCTTGACAATGTCGACACCCTGCCCATGGATCTCGACGCCTTGGCGGCTTCATTTCCTTCGGCAACACGGCTGTGAATTGAAATTTATAAGTTTGTGTGTGGGCACGCACGTGCATGCATGTGTATACTCACGTACGAATATGTACCCATGAGGCTGTGCCGGCAGCTACCGGAGTCTGCGAGCAATCGACCACATGTGCCCCTCCCGACAACAGCCCAGAGCAGGAGGAAACTGCGCCACCCAGACTTCGTAAAGCCCACAACAGGTTTGCAGTGCATGTGACCGGATATGATACAATCTGTGAGCCATGGCCCCGGCCAGTAGTGGCAACTCCAATGCCAGAGCCAGCTCCAATGCCAGAGCCAACTCCAATGCCGGAGCCAACTCCAACGCCAGAGACAGTACTTGCAACCCCAGCAGAGCAGCAGGTGATGCCGGAACCAACAGTGCCCGCAGTGACAGCAGCAAAGCCGGTGAGTCATGCACTGGCAATGAAGCGCCTGTTTAAGCAGAACATGGACAAGAAGCGGGCAGCAAGGAATGAGGGCAAGGCGCCGGATCAGGCTGAGCATGCAGCGAAGTGTGCAAGAGGTCAGGATGTGGGCAAGGCCCCGGATCAGGAGGAGCCGATCATGCAGCCTGTGATCCCAACACCTGTGCGCAGCATGACTGCTGTGCAGCCAAGAGTGTTTGGCAGTGATGAGGAAATTGCAAAGGCTTTGGCCGAGTTCGATGATTCGGAGGATGAACGTGCAACGGAAAACTATTCCTTTGAGGAGGACGCAAGTGATGAGGAGGAGGACGCCCCGCTGGTTGAGCAGGCAGAGGTTACCTCAGTGTCGTTGTCCATTCCGGGAGCGAGCGCTGATGAAGATGAAGAGCGAGCTCCCATCGGTGATGCTGCCGACGGGGCCGAGCCGGCCGAGGCCCCTGAGAGCCCCGGGTTCAAGTTGGTTGCCGAGGATGAGCTTGCGAAGAGGTTTGGGCGGCCAGCAGCATGGAAGCCTGGGTTCGTTGATTTCTTGTCCCCTGAGGATCAGGTTCCTGCCAAGCCCAGGGGCAGGAAGCCTGGCAAGGGCAAAGGCAAGAAAAAGTCGAAAGCCAAGGCCAAGCGGTCAGCTGGCGCAGACGCAGAATCCACCGAGCCCAGCCGCAAGTGTGCCCGGAAGTCTGCCAGGGAGCCTGCTTCCGATGCCGAAGCCGATGCAATCCCTGAGTCCGCCCCCAGTGCATCTTCAAAGAAGCCTGCCAAGAAGACCTCAACCTGCTGTCCGGCCCCCAAGAGTGCTCGCAGGTCAATCTTGAAGAAGGCTGGTCGCTATGCAGCCAACCCTTCCAGCCCGTCGGCTGCCAAGAGTGATGGCAAGTCGAAGAAGTCTGTTGCTGCCGTCTGCCCAGATGCACCCGAAGACCCCCGCCCGAAAGCCAAGCCCGTGAAGAAGACATCGGCGAAAGCGAAAGCGACAGCGAAAGCCGGAGCAAAAGCAGCTAAGTCACGGGACTCATCCTACCGAGCACCGTGCACTTTGAAAGCCGAGTACAAAGCACGCGTGAGCAGGAAGTCATGTGCCTATCACCGGGCACTGAAGGAGGCTATGGCCGAAGGAAAACCCGAGGCTGAGAGGAAGGCTCTCGCACGTGCAGCTGCTTGGCTTAAGAATATATGTACACACGTACACAGCATACACGCATGCTACTTAAGATCCCCAACTCCCTTGTGATGTGACCCCTGCTCCGAGGCTTATGCCGCAACGGAGTGAATGCTCGACATGGGTTTGCTCAAGGGGCCCGCCGGATGCAGCCGCAATGGCTGATCCATCATGGTTGGGTTTACACTTCGTCGGGATACAATACATTATGATCGGTTACAGTTTTGGGCCTTGGACTTAATGTAGCTATTG